TGGTTGGACTCAAGGCAAAATGGGTTTGTGCTGAGCTGGTCTCCTGGGAAGTGGGGTGAGGAGGGCAGAGCGAGCTGGGCTGCAGGAACCAGGCAAGACACTTGGCTGTAGGACATGATGGGGGAGTCCTTCAAACCACAGTGATGGTGGCAAGCTGGAGCACATCCTTGGCAAGAGTCCCTGAACAGCCCTGTCCACGTCCTCAGCCACCCTGGCAATGCCCACTCTCCCATCACCATCTCTGCCCCTGCAGACACAAAGGGCCACATGGAGATGTGTCCAGCAATCCCAGTGCCCCCAGCTGTGCCATGGCAAGACAGCACTGCAGCCATCCTCCACCTGGAGCACAGGGAGAGGAGGCAAGGGAGCCTGGCACAGGCACACTGGAAGCAGACCATCCTGCTGAGCCCTGAGACCACCTTCCTGTGGGGAAGTGGAGGAGAACAGAAGGTTTACCATTGGGATAGGGTGCAAGAACCAGCCCCATGCTGTCCAGAAGGGCTGGCACCAGGAAAGTTCTGTGTGTTAGTCCAAGGGATCACAGTCACCACAGGCACCGGGAGCTGCTGCCAGGTGGGCAGGAGCCACCTCAGGCGTGTGAGAAATGGGGATGGCATGCACCCTGCAGTTAGGGGATGGAGAATTGGTTTTCAGAAAGACAAAGAAGCTTTTTTTTTTCCTATTTTCTTTAAAACTACAGATTACAGGACTACAGATTTTGTCCTCCCTGTCTCCCCTCTCCTCCATGCACTGTACCTCCTTTTACCCACTCTGTGCCCTAGGCCAGTAACTAACCCCTGTCTCCCCTGTCTATTCCTGCTGGTGAGCTGCAGCTGAGCAGTCCCTTCATCCCACACCCCTGAGTCCTGACCACTGTATTGACCCAGGTTAATGGGCAGCCCAGTTTCAGCAGACCCAAAGGCCAGTGGGACACAACTGGAGCACAGCTGTGTCTGTGGCTCCTGCTCAGGGCTGAGCCAGCTGCTCCTGAGCTGCAGCTTCTGAGGTCCAAGACAGGGATTAGGGAGCATGAGCCTTGCATGATGGCTTGTGTGATCTTTCCCAGCATCATCTCTCCAAGCTCTGTGAATATGGAGCAGCAGACATGTCCTTGCTGCCTGCAGAGCACCCAGTCAAGCCCTCATATCCCACCCAACAGTGTCCTGTACCTCACATCCCTTGGCTCATCCCTGTCCACTGCCAGCCCCACACTGCTCACAGACCCCAGGACACAAGGCGCCCAGGTGTGCTGTGGCTTTTACAAGCGGGTCCATTATCCCACTGCACCCACTGTTCTGCTCCAGCCCTCAAAGGCTTTGGGTGTCCCTCCTGCAGGAGCCGGTGACACCTCCCATGGCCACTGCTGCCAGGTGCACACAGTGATGAGGACAAATGTTTGCATCAGCTCGGGACTTTGGCTCACTTTTTGTGTATATAAGGCAGAACTGGTTTTCCTTTTTATTTTTAGGCATCAGTGAAAATAAAAATGAGCAGGAATCCTGTGTGCCACAGGTTTGTTGGTGTCCCTCCTGGCCCATGGTGTTGTGGCAGGGGAGCGTGCTGTCTCAGGAGTCACACTGGCGCCGATGCCCCTGAGCGCAGCCAGGGTTGGGAAGGGTGTCTTGGGACAGCAGCCTTGCCCACGTAGCACACACTGTGCCCATCCCACAAGGGCATTGCTGGCGGTGTCATGGCTCATATCGTGGCTTGGCGCTGCCACGTCTCATTCCTTTGGCACCAAGAGGGATGGCAGTGCTGGGTGACCCAGCGGCTGCAAACTCTGGAGACAGCAGGGAAAGGGTGAGGCCGTGCTTGGGCTGGCAGAGGCCAAAGAACAAGGCCAGCTCCCATTGGCGCCTCTTGGTCTCTAATCTCATTTTATGGCTGTCGATGGGCTGAATATCCTCCTTGTCCAAGATGAACAAACAGAGAACGAGGATGTGAGATAGTGCCTGGGACAGCTGGCATTGGTGCCCAACACTTTCCCCTCTCCATCCCAGGAGTGTCCCCCCAGTCCAGAAGAGCACTGAGTAAGGGGTTGCCCTCAAATCCCTACCAATATGGCTTGTCCAGCCCCCAAACTCCTCCCAGTGCCAAACATTGCCTGAGAAGAGGTGGAGATGTGTGTGCCAAGGTGCCAGGGCAGGGCAGGTGGCTGTGGAGGGATACCTGAAGCAGGATAAAGGGTGGAGGAGATGGAGAAGTGGGAACAGGATGAGGTGGCATTGCAGAGAGAGGGACAGAGCAAATGTTTTGTTCCTGCAATTGCAATAGCAGCTGCACCTGCTGCTGCACCCTGGTGACCCTGCACTCACTGGCACGGTGCCAGGCTGCCCATGGCATGGGACCACCACCTCTCCACACCCTTGCAAGGGGACATGGGGAATTAGGAGTTAAAACAGGTGGGGGAGGCAAAGACAATGGAACTGGTGCCACATAGGAAAGGGATAAGACTCGATAGGTCATCTGCCTGAAGAGCTGGGCTGGACTGGGGAAAGTGGGACCATTTCTGTGTGCGGACTCCAGCATGGTCACCATACCAGGGGCTGGCTCCTTCACACTCATCATCCTCCCTCAGTGGGTTTTGGCTGCCTTTGACATCCAATTTTGTCATTACCACATGGAGACCAGCAGTGGGATCCTGCTCTGGCAGGGGACGGGGTGATGGCAACCCAGCATGGGCATCACTATTGTCTGCAAGGGGCAAGCCTGGGGAGGAACAGAGTCCTGGGGGGATGAAATGTGCATCTCCCAAATTCACCTGCAGTGTTGGGTTGCCTGCAGGTAGACAAGGGGCCGGGACAGAGGGAAGATGCTTTGCTGCCCGCCCAGAGAGGCTGCGGGTGCCATTGACAGGATGAAATTCCAACTGATACCCTAATCTGGCGCCTGCCTGTTTGCACAGCAGGGTAAAAGTCCAGGGAGCCGTGGGCTGTGCCCTTGGGTCTCTGCCACCCGTGTGTGCACAGGGAGCCGGCGCTGGCGGGAAGAGGCAATAAATGCGCCCACACACCCAGTCACCCCTTCCCCCTACACACACACACGCCCCTTGACCGGGTGACGAAATGCATCTGCTGTGTCCCCACTCCCATGTCCTCGCCTGCCGCCCTGCATCTGCCATTTGGACAGGGATGGGCAAACCCTACAGGGTCCCCCCTGTGCCAGGAAAGGGGCCAGTGGACACCATGTGCCCATCAGCTTTGAAACCTTTGATTCAAACCTCCTGGACATGTGTCGCCCTGACGGTTGCACCCCTGGCAGGTGACTGACACCTGGTTTCAGCACCTGCAGCAGCTGCCTCCTGAGTCATACGTCCCACATGGAGCCTGGTCCTTATGGGGACAGCCTGCCCTCATGGCCAGAGGATCCTGGGGGATGTCCCCAGCAAGCCCCCGCAGTTTCTTCCTTTTCCTTCCTCTGCACTTTTCGTCAGCTCCTGCTGCCTAGCTTCACTCCTCCTTAGAGGAATCTTAAAATCATCATCAAAATAAGGCCACACGCAGCAGGTGGCCAAGCACACCACCGTCCTACAGCATGGCACACTTCCCAGCAGTGACTAACCAGAGCACCACTGCTGCTGTCGCCTTCCTCGTGTCTGCACCGCAGATCTGGGCACAGTCCCATCTTGCTGTCACCCACCTTCTTACCTCTTCCCAGGTGGCTGCCACTCAGATGTGGGTGGGCTGCCCAGTCAGGGTGGGCAAGGGTGTTTCCCCAGCCTGTGTTCTGCCCTCTCCTTGCCCACCAGACAGTGCCAGTGTCTGTCAGTTCTGCATCACGATGGAGAGACAAGTCTTTGCTTTCCCTGCTGTGTCTGTACTTCAGCCCAGGAGAAGGGAAAGGTTTACTTATGTCCCAGGGGTGGCTGAGAGGGGGGGTGGGAGGAAGCAATACTTGCTAGAAAATGCTTGCAAGCCCCATTTGTGCTCCCTAGTGCCAGCTTCTTGAAGATCAGGGCATGGGAACAGCTGTGCAATACCCTTGTACTCCTCTTGAGCTCTCCGGGCTTTTTTGGGGTCCCTGGACTGCACTGCTCTTTCTGGTTCCTACTGCCTCTGGTGGGTACTGTTCCATGAAGTGGGCTTCTTGCCAGCTCCAGGGCAATGCAAGACTTGAGCCAGCCATGCAATGAGGCCCTGGAGCATCCCAGGTGCCTGAGGTGGGATCTCTACCCCCTAGTGGTCCCAGGCAATGGAGAGCTGATAGTGCTCTCAGAGCAGCACCAGACAAACCAGGAAAGGGAGCTCCAGATACAGAGCATCCCAGCAGCAGCAGTATCAACATGGACATTTCAGGGCAGCATCAGCCCTGGATGCCTCTGCTGATGAATACTGCCCTGGACACAAGAAGACAAGGGCTTGAAGTCCACCCAGGAATGCTGGGTTGTTTGTACAGAGTTCAGTACATGCTGGTGACACAGGGCTGAGACAGTTGTAATAAGGTGACATTAGTCTCTCCTCTCCCACGTCATAGAGATGGCCATGGGACACTTCTCTTTAGGTGGATCCCACGGGAAAAAGTCAAAGAACTGATTCAGACTGCACTGGCACGAAAGGCAAACAAAGCATCCCTGCCCTGCATGAAGGGTGAGGCAGGGACAGTGCCTGATGCAGCCCCTGGATGTCAGCCTGGGCAGCTCCAGGCTCAGCATTCCCAGCCAGTATCCTGTGAGAGGGAGAACTGATGGGTGAGTCCAAGGCAGGTAAAACCTGCCTGGTGAATTCCCAAAGATCATTTTATTTTTGAGGAAGCTGTGAGTGTGTAAAAAGAGGTGTTTGTTAGGTTATGTAGTTTGTTCTTTCCTCCTTTCCCAATGGGAAATATCGGTAAATATTAGCTCAGAAAGACCCACTGTGCAGGAAGATGCTGTGAGCTTCTGGCATCTGCACTTGCGCTGCTGCCACCGCTGTTTGGGGCACGTGGGGTGCTCAGTGGCAGAGTGCCTGCAAAGTCAGGTCCATCTCTAGGGACACCTGATGCATTCGTGGCATGAGTGAGGCAGCAGCCGTTCCCCCTTGCTGCCCAGGTCGGGGGCTGAGGTCCCAGAGCCCCCCTTTCCCCACCAGGAGCGCGTTTGACAGACAGACCTCTCTCCTCCCTCCCTGCTCCGCACGCAGCCATCCTCCACCCGAGGCAAACCTTTCCTCCAGCCTCGCTCCTGCCGTTCCCCAGCTCCCCCCGGTAGCAGAGGGACACCCTCCGTGCCGACCGTCGCTTCCCCTCTCCCTCTCGGCCCTCCCCGGCGCCGGAGAGAGCCAGACGAAAAGTGTCGGAGCGGGGAGCGCATAGCAACAGGGTCTGGCATGAAGAAGGTTCGGCAGCAGCATCTCCGGAAGGTGAGAGACGGGAACGGGGGTGCCCCGGGGATAGGAGCCGGGGAGCAGGGGTTACCCCCAGGAGGTGAGAGCCAGGAGCAGGGGTACCCTCGGGCTGGGAGCGGGGAGCAAGGATGCCCCCGGGCTGGGAGCAGGGAGAGGGGGAGGCATGTCTATCGCCCTGCATCCTGTCCTCGGGAGCCTTCGTGGGCAGCCGACAGGGATTAGTCGGATATTAGGGGATAGTGTCCGTGCGCGGGGCCAAAGCGGGACTGTGGGCAGAGGGATGGGGCGTTTCGTGCCCACCGCTCCTGCCCGCACCCCCGACCTTCCCGTGCCAGCAGGTGCTGCCGCGATGGGCGACTCACGTTGTGTCTGGACAGACGCCGGGGGTGGCACCGGGAGCAGAGCTGGCTCCCTGCAGCCTGGCACCCCGGGGACACTGCTCCCACCAGCCCCCGGGCTCGGAGTGGGGGTGAGGGGTAAGGGATGAGGAGTCCCACACAGGGAGCTGGGCAGTGACTTTCCCACCTGCAGCTTGGATTGCCTCTTCATCCTCCCCCGCAGGATTTAAAGGGGTCTGGGTGGTGGGGGGCCAGCTCAACACTGAACTCTGGGTTCAGGGCAGAGCTGACAGAGCTACAAATCCTTTTTCCATCCTGCTGGAAACCCTTTTCAAACGCAGCTGTCAGGCTTTCCCATCCCAGGCTTCCCTCTGCTGCCACTTTGCTCTTACAGCCTCTCTGAGTTCCCATTTCCCCCCACTTTGGGGACTTTCTCATGTCTGTCTCCCTTGGGGACATGGTGGAGCAGGGTGGCAGAGGCTGTCAGCCACAGTTCCATCATAGGAATGCACTGCTGCTGCCAGTGGGTCAGCACTTCCTGGAGCATCCCAGGCAGTGACCCAGGGCTGGGAGCCACTTTGGCTCTCCTCTCTGCCAATCCATGCCCATTAACCACAGGGCAGGGTGACTCCAACCTGTGCCAGCATCCCGATGAATGAAAACCCATGAGAGTTTCATCACTGCCAGGAAATTCCTAGGATATTGAAACATGACGTAAAAAAGCCAGCAGTGGCCTGGTGACAGCCAGCAGCTCTCTGCTGTTTCTCCACTGTTTGGACTCATTGTCTGGCCTCTTCTCTCTCCTCCTCTTTCCTAAAAGCTGCTTTTTCAGATGTCTTTGTGATTGCAAGATCCACTAAAAATTGTCTTTGTCCCTTCCAATGGTTTTCTGAGTTACTTGATGCTGGTGATCCTGTTTAGCACTTATTCAGGAATTCATTTAGTCCCATGGCAATCAGCTGGGATGGAAAGCAGATGTCTCTGGAGTTATTTTCTCCATTCCCAGTGCTGCTCAGAGCCCTCCATCCTCCATTACCCAAAACCACTTGCTGAGCTCCAGAGGGAAAACCCAGTGCTCGCAGCCACCTTGGGACCCCTGTGTCCAACGCTGGCATTGGGCTTGCCTGGAACTGGTGGTGGCTGATGGAGAGATGTGCCCAGCCCAACTGCAGCACCCACCCAGGACCCTGAGAGCCTCCTCTCCCTCCCATTATGATCCACTTCCCATTGGCGAGTCAGGAGTTTTAAGCCTTCTCACCAGACATGTTTTAGATATATGAAAATGCCTCTTTAATGGAGAAGATCTTTCCCAGGCTCTAAGGACTTCAGGTTTATGAGTGGATGTTTTAATTTGATTATTTGCTTTGGGGGGTTATTTGGTAGAAATGGGCTAAAGCCCACGGGAGCCAGCGGTGGGAGCCATGGTTTGGGCTGTCCCTCCCCATACCCGCAGAGCATCCTCCTCCTGCCTGAGCCACTGCCCTCCTCTGCCTGCCACAAACTGCCTCAAAACTTCCCCAGGGTTTTTGGATGAAAGACCATAAGCATTTGTATCCATGTGTACTCCCTGAACTTTGGACATCACTGTCATGAGTTTGCTTCAGCCTCAGCCATTTCCAGCCCCCAAAGCCCCCTGTGCTGACTCCACCACCTCTTGCTCCCTCTCATGGCGTGGGCTGGGGGCACCTGGGGTCAGTGCAGCCCTTCGAGGGGCTCTCCCACACCACAGCGATGCTTTATTTACTTCACTTTCTAAGTGATATTACATTTGAACTAATTTTTATGCTGTTCTGTTGTTTTTTCCTCTCGGAGATTAACAAGCAATTCGAGGTAATCTGAAGTGACTCACACTTCAGAGACTCGCTGTGCTCAGATCCGCAGGGGAGAAATCTGGCGCCGGGTGGCATTTCCCCCCATCAAAGGCTGTGATCCATGCACGAAACAGTGGCAAAATAACCCCACAACGCCAGCTTGAGTGGAGACAAAATATGATGAAAAAGTAACTTTGATCTGGCTGGTTTTTTCATGGATGCAGCTGAGTTTTGGACTGGTTTAAGTAAATTGGTTTACAGAAAATAATTAGCACAGGGCGATTTTCTTAGGGACGTGAGCTCTTATCTTGGCAGAGATTAAAGTGCTTTTTTTATTTTTCTTGGTGACCTTTGATTTGCTGACTTCTTCGGGAACATCTTTTGGTGAATAATGAAAAGTGATGCCGTGTTCAAAGAGGCCGTGGTTGCCAAGGGAGCTGTTGGTCCCCGTCTGTTTATAACCTCGAGACGGGAGCCCGGTTTGAAGGATGGCAGTTGACGGTGGAAAGCACTAGAGCAATATTGTAGCACTGGAGCACTTCAGCTGCTGCTGAAAAAGAAAATTCCTGTTATGACAGAGGCTGAAAGGGAGCAATAATCCTTAAAAAAGGATCTGGAATCGAGCCGGTGTGTGAGATTTCCAGCAGTCTGAAGAAGGGAGGTGTGCTTTTCTCTGCTATTTGGGACAAAGATGGGCTAGAATCCTTAAATACTGTGCTTTGAAATTCATTTTAAGCCAGGCAAGTAGGCCAGTTTTTCTGTGATTTCTATGGAAAGGCTGGGATTTGGGGCGTTTTTGAGCATTCTGGTCATGGAGCAGCCTTTTTGTGTGTTTTCCAGCAGCATTCCTGGCCTGTGCCTCCCAAACATCCCCAGTGGGGACCACACTCTCATTGTCTTCAGGGTCTACCTGACGCTTGAGCAGTCTCTGCATTCTGCTGTGGGGTATCAAATTTAAACTGCAGAGCTCCAGCTAACGATATTTATAAGGGGGGCAGTCATCACGGAGACACAGGCGACAGATTACATCCTATGGCCCTTGAAAAGAGGACTGAGATGGAGACTGGGCCATTTACAGATTGGAAAAGGTCCAGTTGGTTCCTTTCTCTTCTTGTTGTTGCTTCTGTGTTGATTTCTGTGCTATATCTGATGGATGGGCACAGCATGTAATCAGCTCTTGCAGCTCTACCTGTGCCCTCTCGTTGGTGTTTAGGATTCAGACAGAGATGCAGGAGTCAGGCAGAGGATTTAATGATCTCCCAGCATCCCTGCTTGCTGGTTTTCTGTGATGCAAACCTGGAAATCAAAAGCTCCCTGGAGGCAGTGTGATGGACGGGGAAGCATTTTGGGGGGAAAGACCCAACTGTGATGGTCCCCACTGAGCAGGGAAATTTGAATACAGGTTTTATCTGCTGAAACTTTTGGGGAGGTGTTGTGGAGCAGCCTGTCCATCCCCTGCAAGCAGAGACAGCTGCAGGTCATGCCTGCTGTGCGTGCTGGGCTAATTAGCAGGCATGGCCATGGCTTGGAGATGTTGCAAAGTCAGAGAGCTGTGTTGAACTGCTGCAGGAGGGCTGCCAGGTAGCAACAGTTTTATAACAACAGTATTATATTTGGGTCATATTTTGACTTTTCAGCCTGTGTTTCTGAAACTTTTTTCTTCTGGTCCTTCCCTTGTGACGGTGGCGTCCAGTGGGGATGGGCTTTTCACGGAGGGGTTTGGTGTACGGCTTTGCTGGGGCTGTGTGTTTCAGGTTGGCTTTGGGAAGAGTTTGCCCTGGCTTGTCCTGTCCTTCAGGGGGTTTTCACACCAGGTGGGGACGGGGGTGAGTTCATCTCTGTGTTTGGTGCCTTTGGGCTGCAAGCAGCACGTCTGTGGTGCCAGTGGCTGGGGGTTTGGGGTGCACCCTGTGAAGGGTGGGAGCTGGAAGCCCTCACCATCGACAACATGGCTCAGTGTCTCCATGGGAACCGGCAGCAAGAGCATCCCCCAGTCCAGTCCAGCCAGAGAGGAGGAAGAGAGCAGAGAAGGTGGCTGCCACCTTCCTAGAGGCTGTGGCAGGGCAGCACTGAGCTCTGCTCAGCAGCCAGCTCTGGTCTCCAGGGGAATTGGGGTCTGCTGCAGGCTTTGAGCACATGTGCACGCTGGTGCAGGGAATCCACAACTCCTTCTGACTGATCCCTCCAAATCCAGGTTCCTCTCCCTCAACCACTTCCCATAGGCTGTGAAGAGGGACATGCAGAGAGCTCCTTTTTTCTTTGGAGAGCCAAAGAAGAAGAGAAGGTTCCCAAATGGGTTTTTCCTGCCCTGGTCCTGGTGCCTTGTCAGCAGGGACCCCAGAATCTTCCTGTGCTTCAGTATGAATGTGATATACTCCCATGCCAGGGCACAGCAACATGTGGTGCCACAGGGACAGGATCCTCATCCCACCACTTTTTTGCTGCCTGGTCTTGCTGAGGGGATATCTGTGATGGGATCTCACCCAGCAGCTGCTGGCTTAGGCTTTCAGCTCTGGACGGATAAGAGCCAGCAGGGATGCCTTCCCCCCTCTCCCAAGATCAGGAGATTGGGGAAATTCAGGCCAAACATCTCACTGCAGGCCTGATATACACCCATACACAAAGAGCAAGGAGTCCTCACAGTGCATCACCCCAGCCTAAATGGATTGCAGGACCCACACCTCCCTCTTGCAGAGCTGAGACAGTGGGAAGGAAGGGAATGGGTTAATCCCCTGCCTGTGCTGCACTGATCCAGGGCATATTAGGAAAGCTGGAAGGAGGTGTCTCAGCAGGGACAAGTGGGAGCATCACAAAATCCCCACAGTGTTTTTCCAGTTGGAAAAGTGTGGAAAATACATGGAGCATTTAATAGCAGCCAGCTGAGTGCCTAGCATGGCAGTGGCACAGGGGGATGGGGTGTCACACTCTCTGGCACAGCACAGTGTTCTCCTGCTGTCCTCATGCCCATGTTCTGCAGGATATCCGGAAAGTTTATTGTGGCCCCTTAAAAGTATGTCTTTGGAACCTGGAATTGCAAGATGGGTCCCGGTGAGGCTTCCCAGGGTGAACCAGGACCATCCTACCTTTCCCAGGGAAGCTCTGGCCACATGGGATTGCATTTATCCCCTTTCCTTGCTCAGTGGCAGAGCAGGACATTGCCTGGAGTGGTTACCAGAGAGCTGCTGTAATGGGGTGTCCCCAAGGGATGAGTGTCAGTGCTGCAACTTGGGGTTACAAATTCACACAGGAGTTCTTGGCACTCCTTCCCACTCTCCCATTCTTCATTCTCTGTTTTTATTCCCTCCTTGACCCCTGTCTGCCTTCCCCATACCCCATTCCTTCGCTCAGCCCGTGACACCAGACCTCCTGGTAAGCCCCAGCAGCCAGGATGGGGACCTGGGCTCCGAGTGCCCAGAAGACAGAGGGAACTGGACGGGGCGGCTGGATTTCCTCCTCTCCTGCATCGGATACTGCGTTGGCCTTGGAAACGTCTGGAGGTTCCCTTACAGGGCTTATACCAACGGAGGAGGTACTTGGGCATCCTTTGGAGTGGCTGATTTCCCCATCACTGAGCTGGGCTGGTGGGACATGTCCCTAAAGAGGTGTCTCTTCCCCTTCTTAGGGCTGGGAAGTAGCACTAGTCATTGCTGTGAGGTGATGCCTCCTCCTGCCCCCCATGCTAGTTTAGGGCATTAACCACCTGTACCCATGTGTGGGAAGGGATGTGCCAACCCATCTCTGTATTCCTGATCTGGAGAAATCCCCAGCTCAGTGCTGAACTGAACACTACCTGACCATCTCTCCTGGTGTCCAACAGTTTCTTGGCCTGGTGTCCTTCAGGACTCAGCAGGGTCAGCAAATTCTTCCCAGCTATCGAAGGAGGGAGCTTTTTGCAAGGCAAGAGTCCGGGGTGATGGTGCAAAGTGCTGGTTCAACTACTTCCAGAGCGATTGCTTGTTTCACGCAATAATAACTGAAGAATGCCACAGTGTTTGAGAAAAGAAAGTTGGGAGCAGGGGGGAAGCATGACACAAGTGAATCACAGCCCTTTTCTCCTGCACTGACAGTGAGCTGTCGCTCCTCATTGTCTTCCAGATTTTGGTGAAGATCCCTCAGGACCACAGATATCGAATGAGCTTCATTCCCTGTCACAGATGGGCTTTAGGTGTTTGCTCTGTATTGCTTTCAGGAGTTTTTTTCTTGCCTCTTGCAGGAGCTTTCTTGGTTCCTTACTTCATCATGCTGGCCATCTGTGGGATCCCCATCTTCTTCATGGAACTGTCACTTGGCCAGTTCTCCAGCCTGGGGCCACTTGCAGTCTGGAAGATAAGCCCTCTCTTTAAAGGTGCGTGAGGAAAGTCCAGAGCCTCTGCAAGGCCTCTGCAAGACCTGATTGATGAGAACATGGACCAGCAGCAGCATTCTGTGACCCTCAAAGCTCTTGTTAGCATCAAAGGTTAAATCCTAGGAGAAAGTGGAGCAGGCCGGACTTTTTGGTTAGCTGTTTTAATAGCTGCAAGATATCTATGAGATCTGTCAGTCTTTGAGGGTTCTGGATGGCATGACCAGTTTAGAAATAGTAGAAATAGTAAGAAAATTATTAAGCCAGAGCATGAAAGCTAAGCAATGACTGTTAAAGACAAAGAGGAGAATAAAGCATTAAAAAAAAAAAAAAAGTCAAATCAAATCTTTTTATTCTCAACATTACACTGGAGTAAAGTTGTCTGGATGGGGCAGTAGATCATCAATACAGAGGAAGCATGTCCAGAGGGTAAAATGGCAATAAAAGGCTCCCTCACCAGGTGAACCTCTGACTGGTTGAACATTTGGCTGCTGAGATGCGGTGTCTGACCCTGGTTTTGGATGTGCTCTGGTCCGGAGAGATGGCTCACTCCTTCTTTACCCTCTCCTTCCTCCAGGCATTGGCATGGGCACGATCCTCATCGTCTCCTTGGTGGCCATTTACTACAATATGATCATTGCTTATGTTCTCTTCTACCTCTTTGCATCCCTCACAAGCGACTTGCCCTGGCAGCACTGCGGCAACTGGTGGAACACTGACCTGTGCCTGGACCACCACATCATCAAGGGGGGGAACACCACCTTCCCTGTCAACATCACCAACACTGTCAGCCCCAGCGAGGAGTACTGGAGGTAAGGAGAACATGGGGATGTGCTTGGCATCCAGCAAGGGAGAGGATGGGGATGGAATGAGGGGTGAGGGGTCTGTGCTCCATAAATCATGGCATGGTGGGCACTCATGGCTGGTGTTGTAGGAGCAGTGATGGGCTCTTGTGCTCAGCTGTCGGTGATATCTCAGGTTAGCCACTGGGATGACATGTTCTAGTGCTGCTTTTCTGGCCTGGTGATGTGTTAGACTGAAATGAATCCCATGCCTGCAATGGTTAGGAATTTGCTCTCAAGATACCAGGCATCCCCTCTAGTCTCACACCAACTGTTCCCATTTCCTTGGCAAATAGCTATCAGTGCCTGGGATTGCTGACAAGGTTATTTTTTGCAGCAGAGGCATCTCCAGGGTCAGAGAGGGCCTCTGGAAGAAGGTAGAGGGTGCCAGTGGCTGCTCACTAGTGGTTCTCCTTTCTCTCTAGTCGGTATGTCCTGCACATCCAAGGGAGCTCAGGGATCGGGGATCCCGGGAGGATCCGCTGGAACTTGTGTCTGTGCCTGCTCCTTTCTTGGACTATCGTCTATCTGTGCATCCTTAAGGGAGTCAAATCCTCTGGCAAGGTAAGGGCTGGATGGCCTCTTTTGGGGGGATTTACAGCGATGCTCACCAGTGCCTGCAACTCTGCACGTCTGGGAAAGTGAGACCCACAAACAGCATCCGCTGGACACAGGACATTCCCGGGATGCCTTCCACACCTAGAGACCAGCAGGACTGACACACCAGCCCTGCTGCAGCCCAAGGACCCCAGCACTGCAGGGTGGCAGTGCAGTGTCTCACCCAGGGGGCAGGGCAGGGGGACAGTGCTCACACTGCTCTCTCTCCCAGCTCTCCCAGCTGGCTCTGCTCTCCCACAGGTCGTGTACTTTACTGCCACCTTCCCGTACCTCATCCTGGTGATGCTGCTCATTCGTGGTGTGACCCTGGAGGGGGCCTGGAAGGGGATACGGTTTTACCTCACGCCCCAGTTTGATCATTTGCTGTCTTCCAAGGTGAGCAGGACATTGTGCAATTTGTTCAAGACACGGAAATTAACCTTCTCCTGCCACCTCCAGCGTGCAACAGAGGCAGTTCCCTTACTCAGGTGTCTTTTCTGACCACTCCTTGACCTAAAGTCCTCTCTCTTGGTTGCTCCAAGATCAAAAGTCTTTGCCCCACAACTTTTCTTGACCACTGTTCCCATGTGGCCTATCCCCATGCCTGTGACTCTGGCTCTGCACAGAAGGGACAATGTGGTCACAGCCTCCCCTAGGTACCAGGGCCATGGGCAGGATCATCCCAGCCCCAGTGATGGGCTGGGTGTGGCAGTGGGTTCCCATGGTGGATTTGGCTGTTCTGTTGTTCTCAAGAAATCTCAACAGGTGGAGCAGGGGTCAGCAGGGGTGGCCACCAAGATACCACCCAGTTTTACGTTTAATGCCACACTGGGCTGGCTCTAAAACACTCCCGCTAGCCCTTTAACTAGCCAGCTGATCCACTGTGAGTGGTGAGTGTGTTAACTAGGAAAGACAAACATCCTGTGGGCTGTGCATGCCTGGAGTGCTGGGGAAGATGTGCCCAGGAGTCTGGGGAAGCAGATTTTCAATGCCATCTTCCTTGTGAGGAGGTTTCCAAGTCCCTGATCTCCTCAGAACTGCTTCCTTCCCCCAGGTGTGGATCGAGGCAGCCCTGCAGATTTTCTACTCCCTTGGGGTGGGCTTTGGGGGCCTCCTCACCTTCGCCTCGTACAACACCTTCCATCAGAATATCTACAGGTGGGACCCAGCTGCTGTCTGGTAAAAATGGTGGGTTGGGGGGAGCCATGAAAACCTCAGACAGCGGGTTCAAAGCCAGCAGAAGTGCACGGTGCAGCACACAGTCATCCATCACTGCTCCTTGCACAAGCACCATGGCAATACCTGGCAGTTTGCACAGGCCTGAGAGGAACAGAGGGATCTGTGGGAGAAAATTCTCCTAAGCACCAACGCAGAGCACCCAGCTCCAAAGTTTTGGGCTGTGGGTGCTGAAGTCTGAGGATAACTGAGGCTGGAGTTGTCTGTGGTTCACCAATAGAGAGGGGTGTTGGACATTTGGTCTGGTCCCCTCCACAGGGGAAAGCAAGCTTGGGAGGAACCCACAAAATTGCCTATGTCCTTTTGACCCTGGAAAGCACATGCCAAGAGAGGTCCTGGGGGGGAGTCACACTGGGTCACCTTACTGTGGCTCCTGGGGCTGGCAATGCCATCATGCACTGGTGTGGGGTGAGAAGGAGAGAGCGTGTTCAGAGCATCTTATCTCTCCTCTGTAGGGACACCTTCATAGTGACCCTGGGTAATGCCATCACCAGCATCCTGGCAGGGTTTGCCATCTTCTCTGTTTTGGGATACATGTCCCAGGAGCTTGGGGTCCCTGTTAACCAGGTGGCAAAAGCAGGTGAGGCCAAATGAAGACCCTTTCCTCTTCCCCCTCTGCCTGAGTGTGCTGAGGAGCGTCCCTTCCAGGACTGAAGGCACCTGAGGAGGCTGGTGTGAGGGATGAGGATGTATGCTCAGCTGGCCACGGGGAGGGAAGGGAGGAGACAGGTTCTTGTGGTGTAAAGGCTGAGCAACAAGTGATGCCTAAGGAAGGTCTGAGGAAGGAGCAGGCTGGTTCTCCTGCACCCCTCCACTCTCTGCTGCAGGACCCCTCCTGCCCATCGTGCAAGAGTCCTGGCAGGTCCCTGCTGTGGTGCTGCTCTGCTGAGCTCTCCTTTTCTCCATCCATCCATGTCCAGCCCCTTCACCCCCTTCTCACCTGCTTTCCTTTTCCTCCCCTAGGTCCTGGTCTGGCTTTTGTGGTGTACCCACAGGCCATGACAATGCTCCCCCTTTCTCCATTCTGGTCATTCCTGTTCTTCTTCATGCTGTTAACCTTGGGCCTGGACAGCCAGGTAAGGAGAGAGCCCACTGAGCCAGCTGTGGAGCACAGGCAGCCTGAGGGCTCAGGGGACCCTCTCCTCCTGTGCAAGCAGTTTGCATTCATGGAGACCATCGTTACGGCAGTGACAGATGAATTTCCCTACTACCTGCGGCCAAAGAAAGCCTCGTTCTCGGCTGTCATCTGCATTGCTCTCTTCCTGATGGGACTCATCCTCACAACAGAGGTAAGGGTATGGGCATGGATCCATTGTGGGGACCAACTAGGGCTTCATTTTAGGGAGAACTTTGGTCATGGCCATGTTTGCAGACACAAGTATTCACATCAGCTATCAAGGTGAAAGAGAAACAATGAGCCCGGGCTTGCAGAAAGCGTGAGTCCAAGGGGAGTGACACAGTGTTATTCTCATCCGTACACCAACCCCATAAGGAGTGTGATGTCTCTTGATGTCTCTGCTGTCTTCCTCAGGATCCACAAAAGTGGAAGGAGCTGGGTGGGGGTTTACTGGGATGATGGTCCTGGAGATGCTGGCCATTGTGCTTTGTCTCCGCAGGGTGGGATGTACTGGCTGGTCCTACTGGATGATTACAGCGCTGGCTTTGGCCTCATGGTGGTGGTGATCACTACCTGCCTCGTGGTGACACGTGTCTATGGTAAGGGGCTCATCCCCACAGGGAAGGATGGGCTGTCTGTATGGAGAGAGGGATTTAGAGGGAGCAGTAGGGAAACCAACAGACTCACAATGGACCATGAAACATCTCTGCTCCCAGCACTTGTTTCTACTTGGCTGTCACTGGATTCACCTTCCAAAGATCTGTGGGGTGCTGAGACCAGTCCCACGGACAGTACTAGCTGGGACTCCCTCCTCCATCTCCCAGCTGGGAGGGGAGACTCTGTCATAGAGGATGCAAACCACTGCTTTTGATCAGTGCAGCACAGCCTGGTACAGGCACTGGGCTCTCGGGGAGGGCTGACAGCTTCTGAGTCTTTCTCCTTCTCCTTCCTCCAGGCATAAAGAGGTTCTGCCGAGACATCCACATGATGCTGGGCTTCAAACCAGGGCCCTACTTCAGAACCTGCTGGATGATCCTATCCCCAGCAACAATGATGGTAACTGCTCAGCTTGAGGTGCTGGAGAGCCACAGTGGTGCCAGTATCCCTGGGTGACCTCCCAGTGTGACAAGTTGCTCTGCTGGCATCTCCTGCACCAGGGACCATCCCAGGTTCTGCTGGGAGATGTCCATCATGTCCAAGCCTTTCTTTTTGACCATGAGACCTTCAGAGGGCTCTGGGATGACCTCACTTTCTTCCCATCCCACAGGCTCTGCTGGTATATAACATTGTCAAGTACCAGCCCTCCGAATACGGCAGCTACCGCTTCCCCGCCTGGGCCGAGGTCTTGGGCATCCTCATGGGAGTCCTCTCCTTCCTGATGATTCCCTTGGGCATGGTGGTGGCTGTGCTCCGAGAAGAAGGAACCCTGTGGGAGGTAGGAGGGGCCTGGTATTGCACCCCAGAAGTGTGCAGGGGTGAGCACGAGCCCCTGCCAAGCCTGTACCTTCTGGAAGTTTCTGTAGTCTCTCTGCTGGAGGGTTGTGTCCCCCATCTCTCCTTCCTGCCCACGGGGTGTGAGAGATGGCTGGCACATGCCAAGGCATTTCTAGCAGTGCTGCTTACCATGTTGCCAGGCAGGTAGTGAGCAGCCCTGTGTGCATTCCCACTCCAAAGCAAGCCTGCTGTGCCCTGAGGGGAAGCACAGGGTGCTGGATGCCTGCCCCAAACGTGGGGCAGGCATGGGCACCTGGGACTTTGCACCTCTTTGGCAGGAGTGAAGGCAGAGCAAGGCAGGCAGCTGCCAGACTGTGCAGGCAGCCCAGATGGGATCCCTGAACTGAAAGGCTTCTCCCAGGAGCAGGTTACGGAGCTGCTGGCTGCTTACAGCTTTCCCAGCCCTTCACTGCTCTCCCCAGGCTGTTACAAGGAAAGGAGCAGAGCTTGCTGCCCTCCCCAGGCAGCAATCGCCTGCTGTCTGTAACAGGGCTTGACACAGCCGTGGGCACCGTGGCATGGCCAGGAGCCCCCTTGGCAAAGACCAACCCCTTGTCTGGGTGACTAACTCCACAGCACAGGGCTGTAGCCCTACAATAGCCCCTCTCTCCTGCAAGCCCTCACCACCAGCACCCACAGACAACAAACCCCCCACAGCAAGGCACTTAGACAGAGATGCCTTCCCAAAAAGCTTCAGGACAAGCATTTGGCCCCATCCCATGCTCATGGGGAGCTCTTCTAGTCCCTGGGGGCTGGCAGAGCACCCTGTCCCCCCGGGAGGTGTCGGCATGCTGGGCTGTGGGGGTGAAGGCAGTGCTGGTGCAAGATGCCCGTGCTCCCTCTACCTGTTCCCTCCAGCGAGTCCAGCAGGCCAGCCGGCCCACCATGGACTGGGGCCCATCACTGGAGGAGAACCGGACAGGCATGTACGTGGCCAGCCTGGCGGGCAGCCAGTCCCCCAAACCGCTGATGGTCCACATGAGGAAATACGGGGGCATCACCAGCTACGAGAACACGGCCATCGAAGTGGACCGGGAGATGGAGGAGGAGGATGAGGAGGAGTCCATGATGTAAGGGCCCCCCCTACCCCCAATTTGCACGGGTTGCACTGCAGCACTTCAGGACGGCTTGGGGGGTCTTTCGGGCAGCAGTCAGGAGCTGTCGACCCTGCCAGGTTCCTCACCACCACCATGGCCCTGCCACGATAGAGCTGCTGCCCATCCTGGTGCCCCTGATGTGTTTCTGTTCAGTGTGACAAACTGTGTGATGAGTCCATCCGTTCATGTGACAGTGTCTGGTTGAAGTGTCTGGGCTTCAGAGCTGCCCCACTCCCACCCTCAGCCCCAGCCCTGCCCTCCCTGTATAGGGGTGTCCAGGGTGCAGGAATGTCCAGGCTGCAGCAGGTGGGGAGGTGGAAGAGGTTGAGGAGGTCCTCTGCATTGGTCTGTTCTCTGTTTGTGTGTATTTGACTCCAGTAACCCATAAACACCTGTGAGAGAGGCTGTAACATCCTCCATGCCCTGAGGACAATGTGCACCGGTGTGCTCTGATCACACAGAGGTATTCCAGCAAATAACCAGCACTAATCAGTGTCCTCTCAAAGAAATTTGACCTAATAAATGAGCAGTTAAAAGCAATTAAAAAAAAAAAAAAAGCTTTATAAACAAACCAACTCGGGCCTTTCCAGGCTTGGAGATCCCCAAGGACCTTGGTGGGTCAGGGCAGCTCTTCCCTGTGGTGCCTGGCGAGGCTTGGGTGACTTTAAAGAAGGGAAGAGGCTGGGTGACCTGTTCCCCATGTGTACAGGAGGTCAGGGACAGGTCTCAGCTGGACCCAGTGCCAAAGGAGGAGCCATGTCCACTGCCAAGGGACAGATCCAATGTATGGCCCTAGCCCTGGGTGCTGCTTTTCCCAGGGAAAGGAGAAGGGCTGGGTTTCAGTTCCTGCACATGATTTTGGGGTAGATCAGCCCAGGGCTCATGACACAGGGACCCCATCTCCTGCTGACGCTGTTGACCTGAAGGTGCCAGTGAGCTCCTGGGTGGGGTTGTTTGGACCTGATGCTGCCAGTGTCCATCATCCCAGGGTCATGTGTGCCTTCCACGTGCCATCAGCTCGCCAGTAAAACCGGTGTGTGAGACGCAGCCCTTGTGTGGATTATCTGGAGGGTCCCCAGCATGGAAGAAGGGCACATCTAGAGGGGCTTACAGGGATGGCAGGTACAGCTGCCCTGGGCTTTGTCCTGCAAATCTTCATCCTGGTAAAAGACCAAACCTTAGGATAAACACACAAATTGGGGTTTTATGTCTGGATTATGCATGTGGTTCGGGTGCACTGGATCAAGCACTGTTGCCTGAGCCTTCAGAGTGAATTCTGGCATAAGGCTGCAGTTTTTCTCCTTCCCTACAGTGGGGGAGAATTAATTATTGCCTTTTCACCTCTGAGAGCAGAGGGCCAGCTCCTACACCTGCTCCATCTGCCTGCTCACCTCCTCTTGCCCAGGGATGCTGAGCTCATTCCTGGATGGGTCTGCCCTTCCTTTCCTCTGCAGGACCACCAATGGCTTTCCCCATCCTGCTCCCCAGACCCCACCATGGCTGCAGCTTCCCTGGGCGTGTGGGGCTCCTGCAGCACAACTGTGCGCGAAGCACCTTCGGCCGCTGGCCCCTGGGTTAATCATTAGAGTCCGGCCATAAAAGTGTGGCTGATGGAAAGTTCAGGCCGTGGCGGCTGGGGAGTGGGGAGGGCCTGCCATAAACATTTATGGCCCCAATGAATCCCTCGCTCTAACCTTGACACTATTTGCTGAGCAGGAGGCCTCAGGAGGTCACGGTGTTGCCCAGCCATCGCTGTGGGTGCTGGCTGAGGAGCCCGGGCTGGGCTGGCCCCTGGAGGGGCACACACGGGGGTCTCCAGGGGTGATGGAGCAGGTGATGGACCCAGGTGTTCCATGATGTCACTGCCAGCCACAATGTACCAGAGGAATCAGGAGTGCTTCACACCTTTCCATGGCATGGAGTTGAACTGCTCTGGGATGACCAAGTTGGTCCAGTCTCTGCATGTCTCCCAGCTTTCCCCACTCGCATGATGTCCTGCCACATTCCCCAAACCCCCACCGTGATCCTGGGATCCTTGGGGCTCTCCCTTGGCAGCTGCCATCAACCAGAACTGCGCTGCAGAGTGATGGGGAGGAAGGAGCCGAGGCTGTGCCAGGGAATGTGGCTGGGGAGCAAAGCTGGCAGTGTGGGAGGACACCAGGGGCAAAAGGCATGGGGGCAGTGACACAGCTAGAGGACACGTGCCCTGGGCCATGCATGGCTGCCCAGGGCTGGGGGGGACGTGGCAGCAGGATCATTCCAGTGCTGACACCTGCTGGGGCCAGGGCAGATGGCAGGGAGAGGGGGAACAACGGGGGCACCTCAGGACTGGGGGTGCAGGACAGGGGCTGTGACAGCCCGACCCCAGTCCCCCTGAGGTACCAGCCCACCTGCATGGGCAAAGCCCAGCAATTGCCCCTGGGAGCCCCCCAAACCCACCCTGGACTCACCTGGATGTTCTGTGCCCCTCACCCTGCAGCACCAGTTCCCCCAAAGCTCCCTCAAACTGCCCAGTGGGCAACTCCATCCCCCCATCCAGCTCGAGCAGCTCCTGGGGGCTCCCATACACCTGCAGCCTCCAGAGCCCCGTCCCTGGGAAAGGGGATGATTGCAGTGAGCTGGGTCTAGGGGGGTGACATTGGGCTCCCCAAAGCCTCAGGAAGGCTAAACACCCAGGGCAGCCAGTGCCCAGGGTACCAGCATCCTGGAGGCAGCAGGATACCTGCAACCCCTGCCCAAGGGTTGGTCTCAGCCTTGATGCTTTCGAGGACAGGAGTGGGGTGACAGAGGGACAAGGGGGTGGCAGACGGTCTGAGTCACTGCAGTGACGGAGAATCACCCGTTTCCATGCTCAGAAGTTGGTAGCTATTTATTGCACTTGAACACCAAGAATAAAACTGACACTCGCCCTCCCTCCCACACCCACCCTACTCCCAGTCCCCCCCACCGCCCTCCCCAAATAGAGCATCGGATTTGAGCAGTGATCATTCTGTTCACAGCCACAGGTTCAGAAAAGAAAAAAAAAAACAAAGGAAAAGGAAACAAAACAAATCCCACCCCCCCACCCCCAAGTTCCCACTGAATCCAACACGGTCACACTGCTCAACAGTTCGAGTGCACTTACAAAAAGAGAAGAGAAAGGCTTCAGCTGCAACCGTACGGACGGACACGAGGGGACAGGCAGCTACCCCTCCCCGGGGCCTGATTTTTTGTTACGTGACAAAGCTTGGTATAATCTTAATTATAATATATTTTTTGCAGTCATCTTAAATAAATATTTCCATAGAGATTTCCTGTAAGTATATATATTTTTTTATATATATATAATATATAAGAGAGAGAGATAGATCTCATTTTTTTTTCTTAAACCACTGTTAACTTATTTTCCCTGCTTGTCCAAAAAATGTTACAAAAGCCCTAAAATTGTGCAACAGTTAGAAAAAAGGGACAACAACCCAAAGAAGGAAGGAGCCACTTGATACAGTCCCCTCCACCTCTCCCTCTCCCTCTCCCACTCCCTGTCAATGACCTGCAGGAGGGAAGGACATTCAGCTGGTGGGACAGGTGGCAGAGTGGCCACCAGCCCCTGCTCTGATGTCCCCACAGTCTGCTCACATCTGGGTTTCCCTGTCTGGTGCAGATGGGCTAGGACTTGCACCTTGGGACATGGGGGATGGCAAGGTCTCTACCTCAGTGCTGCATCAAGAGCATGGTGCACACCATGAGACGTGCCCTGTGGTGAGGATGAAGGGTCAGCCAATCTCCTGGGATGGTCAGAGGAGGGATCTCCTGCTGGCAGACAGCTCTTGGTCCATGGGGCTGCATGGTTGCCCTCTCACATATGGCACTGTAATCCAACCACAGGCTGCAGGGCCCACTGTGAGCTCAAAGTGGGAGCAGATGACTGTTCCTGCCTGCTCCAACCTCTGGAGATCCGTGGGGGCATCCACTGTGGAAGGCAAAGGGAGGGGAGGCAGGTTTGGGGTCACGCAGAAATTCAGTGCCTGGCAGAGGGGGCATTACATGTGGGGTAGGGGGGAAAGCACTCTCCCAACTGTGACTGTCTGGGGTCAGGAGGGGAGTCCCTGCTCCACCAGCAAAGAGCAGAGACCCAGGAGTAGCCTCTTCATCTTCCAGAGGGGATGCACCAGCAAGATGTGAGAAATTATGATGTTGCCATTGGACCCTGGCATCCAGAAAGGGAAAACAGGTAGCTCCCAAGCCCACCTGTGGAGCTGGGAGCTCAAGACCCCCACAGCAAGTGTTTCCAGTCAGATATCTCCCGTGAGAGGTGAAAAAGAGGATGAGTTTGTAGGACTTCCGAGTTTGGTTTGATCCAGACAGGCAGGTGATCAGGGTAGTGGGGCTCTGTCTATGCCAGGAAATGAAATGTGCCACAGCCTGATCTCCAGCCTTGAGGCTGACAGGGACAGAAGGTCCATGGTGGTAAACCCCATCCCAACAAGGTGGCCTTGTCCATGTCACTTTTTGGGAGCATCCCTGGACCTTGTCATCCCCAGAACCAGGGGTGGATTGTTGGGGCCAACAGCTCAAAAGCACAGACGTAACAGCAGCATCCTTGGCTCTGCCAGCCAAAGAAGATGGTGGCAGTTGATGGTTATTTTTATAGTTTTCCTGCAAGTTTAGGAGAAATCAGGAAATGTGAAGGAAGACAGAGACAGAAGATGTTTTCCACGAATACTGAGAGAAATGGTGGCGATCTGTCAGTGCTTGCTCAGAGATGCTCTTGGGAATACAGGAACCTGCTCGGGAGAAGCAGGACAAGGTGGGACAGAGAAGCCAGGCAGGACAGATCCCTAAAGTGCAGGTGCTTAATGCTGCCAGCGTGGGCATGTTGGGAAGTTGGGTCTTCCTTGATCAGGCTTCAGCTTGACTGGAAGACTAGAATGAGTTGAAACCCCAGACTCTTCTTCCCTCAGAAAAGAGCAGAAAGGTTTTAAGTGTTGCAAGGACATCCAGCTGCCTCCTGGGGAGGTGACCTTAGTGAAACCTCAAGGATGAGAAACCCCCTTCAAGAAGGCACCTCAAAGCCTTCTTGGAAGCCAAGATGTTTCTCCCTAGCAGTGACTGTAGGCTCTCAGTGAAAGGAGATTGTATCTACCCCAGCATCTCATCTGTCATTCCCAGCAAATCCTACTGCACCTCCTGTCCCATTCCTTTCTCCAGTAGCAGCTGCTGGAGCAGCTTCACCCTCACAGCTCACCCAAGGTCCACATTTATCAGCAGCTTCAAAACCAGGCTGAAATGGCATCTACCCTCCAGCCCCCATGCAGAGCCCTGATGTGACCTTCTCTATCCTCAGCCACCTTATACCAATCCCCAAAAACCCTCCTGCCACCTGGAGAGCCTGGCATCAGAAGATGGATGGCATTCACTGTGGCTGACTTCAGAGCCAGCTCTAGAGAGGGAGAAAGAGAACTGTGAAAGAGCTGAGTCCTTCCTTTAAAAACGAAAAAAATTCAGCACTACCTGACTATAGGAGGAAAACAGATCTGTAAAAACACCAAAAGTCTACCTTAAAAGCTAATCCTCTCCCTGCATGGATTTCCCTGCTTTGGGGTCATCTCTTGCAAGCCTACGGTGAAACAGCATAGGGCAAGGGGACCCACATGGGCACCCGTGGAGCAGCTCTGTGATTTGCCCCCAGAAAGGCATCTTTTACACACATCACCAGCAGCTATCGCACCGCTGGCACAGCGGAACACACCACAACACTTCTCAGGGCCTGTCCGTGCCCCAGCAGTTTGGATTTCTTCCCCTCCATCCAGTGGGAAAATATTTTCTGCAGTCTGCAAGGACGCAGCTGCGTTTGGCACGGTGGCCGTCCCTGCCTCGACAGAGAGCAAAGCATTCAAAACCACATAAAAGGCAAAAATACACGCTCAGTATTTACATGGAGGAAACATTTCCTCTTTTCTTTTTTTTTCCTTTTTTTTTTTCTTTTTCTTTTTTTTTCTTATGTCCAAAACAAGCAGTTTTTTGTTCATTTCTTTGTTTTTCAACACACGCACCATCTAGAAAGTTAAACGCCATGCAGATGCAGAGAGTGGAGCTAGAAAGTCCCCCAGGGCAGCAGCGCTGCAGGAGCCTCACATCAATGAGCAAAGAGGCTCCAGTCGGAAAAAGAGAATGAGAAACGGAAGAACTGCCGGAAAAACACCCACCCTCAGACCTCTACCCGATGGCAAAGAGGTGAGACCAAAATTCCTCATCCTGGCCATGTCTTCTGTCCTGAAAGCCATGTGCTGGTGGCTCTCCAAAAGCCACTGCTGTGGCTTGCCCTGCAGGAAGACCCGGGGGGTGCAGGAAGGTGCCCTGGGGAGGGGGATGCCCCCAGAGGTGGGTGCCTTCACCCATCCAGTGCTCTGGGACAGGACGGGATAAGCCACCATGGTGTGGGGAGGGGGCTGGCAGCCGTGGGACCCCTGGAAGGAGCATCGTAGCGGCTCAACCCCTTTCCAAATGTAAACGCAATGAAAAACAGCAACCCCCCGAAAATCCCCCCTCCCTCCCCACCTTAAACAGTTGAATATTTCTAGTTATTACATAAAGATCCATTTCAGCAAATACTCAAAATCAAGTTACGAAATGCACGGTAGGTTGGTTTCTTTTTCCTTATAAAAAGGCATGCGCTCAAAGGAGAAGACAGCTAAAGGCTTGTTTGTTTTCTTCGAAGCACAATCAGATTCTGCAGAGTTTTGTCACTAAAGCTTGCACTCCTTGTCATCGCTGGAAGGAGTCGCGTGGGCGATGGAGGTTTGTGCCCCAAAATCAGCGGCCAGTTCAGCTGCCCCTGTCCCAGCCCAGGAGTCAGGAGCAGGGGAGTGCCAGTGCTGCATGTGAGGGGCAGGGGTGGGTGCTGGGGTAAAGGATCCAGGCTGGAAGGAGCATGGGAAGGAGGGTGCAGGGGCAATGCTACTGCCCAGGCATGGAGGGGAGAGCTCCAGCTCCTGGCTGTGCCCAAGCGGTACTGGGAAGCAGTTGTCTTTCTTCTCCTCTCTTCTCCCAGCTTCTCCAGTCCCTGTTCCAAAGGGAGAAGGGAGGAAGGAGGGAGAGCATCCCTCTTGGCGCAGCAGCTGCCTGGAGCCAGGGTGCAAACCTACTTGCTCTCCTGGGAAGGAGCCAGCCTGCACTGGGAAGGGAAAATAAACAGGTAGTCTTTACTCACCCGTCCAAATATGGGACCTCCTTGCCCAGGTGCATGAGGAAAATGGACTTTGCAAATGGTTTAAGTTGTGGTTCCCCATCCAAGGCTGCTGGGAAGTGGGAACTCGGGTCGAGAGCAGGCAGGAGTCATGGCAGTAGATGGGGACCTTGATAGCAGCAAAGCAAAATCCACCAGCACGTGGGGAGGATGCAGCACAGAGCGGCTCAAAACTGCCCCCCTCTTCCTCGGAGGGCTTCCAGCAGAGGTGGGGATGGAGGTGGATGATGAGTCCAGTTCAGGACATGTGCTGGGTAGTGAGGGAGCCCACCAGTGCTTTGCAGCCAAGGAGAGGGGCCTGTACACCAGCCAGATATTTATGTTTAAGTTCATGGTTTCTCTTTTCCTGGTTCATGCAGAGGAAGGGGGCCCAGGGCCATGACCCCGGCAGGGTGGGGGGTTTCATGGGATGCTTGCGCTGTGCTGGCAGGGCCGTTGAGTGTGTGCGGTGAGAAGCGAGGGGTTATTCCAGCGGGAACCAAGCAGCAGAGCCAACAGGAAAAGTCCCGTAGGTGAACATGTCGGAGGGGGTCTCCCCTTGGTAGTC